TTGCCACAGAAAAGCCTAGTGAACATAAATCTGAAAATATGTGCATAGTTTTACTTTTCTTTGGATTTAAAAAATTATATTAAACCCTTCCATTAGACAAACACAAGCAGATCTGAAGTGACTTTTACCATGCTGCATGCTGATAATGAATGCTCGCAGAAACAGACAAAAGATATCTAAGAGCAGGCAGAAGCACGCATATTATAAAGGAAATCACACCCAAAAGAGATTAGTTCTTTGTCCTGGAGGAGGAGGAAGATCTTTCATAGAGAACCTTTAAAGTATAGAGGAGTCTGACAGAAACAATGAAAGAGTCAGCAGTACAGAGTTAAAACCATGAACCTCAGATCCAGAAGTCACAGAAGGAATACAAACGGAAGAGTTGAAAAAGGCTTTATATAGTGTGCATGTGTGTGTTGGTAAACAGAGCATCAAAAGAGAAAGGCGAGTTGCAGTATGACCCATTCATATCCAGACATGCTATTTTTGTTGCTGCGCTTTCAATAACTGCAAGCATAGCGTGTGGGAACTGTTAATTCAGGAACAGGGATGATGACTGCTTTATGGGGTAAAATTAGCTTGCTTTTGCACTTTTTATCTCGCTGTAGCCTAATACAGGAATCCCGACTTGAATATGTTATGGCCTTTTGTTATCTGATGGAGTGTTTAACTAGAAGAGTAGGTGAAATTAAGGTCTTACTAGTCATGAGTGCTGCATTTTTCAGTACCTGAATCTTAGCTTGTTAATGTTCCTGTAACTTTTCCACATTAACACAATCTGCCTTCATGAACTCAGGAATATTTTCAATACTGATTTACATCGTTTATGCAAATACCCTGTGCGCCTAATTGCTTACTCATTTGAGTATTTTCTTTGGGCAATCTGCAAGAGAAATAAATGGCAATGGAAAAGACTAAGTCTAAGAAGAGATGGAGAACTGCCTGCTGCCAGCACAGGTCATTTAAAAAAGTTCATAAATCAGCAGCCATTCTCATTGCTATTTAGTGAGTGTACTGATACAACGTCTTCCTCCATAACATCATTGCCAGCAATCCCCAAATTTTACGTTGTTAATGGGAAAACAAGGAGATAAATACACTTTTAAAGTCAACTCACCTAAAATAAAAACCCACAGCACCTCAAATAACTTGAGGAAACTATCAAGACTGTAATTCTCAGTCTTTGTTTGGCAATGACATTAAATACGTCAAAATATGCGTGCTTTTTTAACATTCACTAATATTGCTTGATTCAGTCCTGTACAGTTTTCTCTCAACACATAAAGGCAGAGTACAAGACTAACTTTGAAACAAATAAGTATACAAATGTAAGCCTAATATTTGCTTGCATCAAGGCCTCTCTGCACACAGATGGCTGTGTGGAAGTACAGTGTAAAGTATATGCAGATTACATCCAAATGTTAAGACTTACACTTTTCATTATAAATGTCGTCCTTTAATAGACTGAGCAGTTTACAGTATTTATGGCGTTCACAGTGTACCCATGACTACAGTTTCCAGGTGCCACCACATAATGTGAACCTCTCAAGCAAACATATTTCCTTTCATTACTTGAGCCATACTCTGTTTTAAGCTCTCAGCTAATTAACAAAGGCAACAGTTTTGTATATTATGCAGCATGCACTTTATTCCTAATACAGCGCATTAATCATTTATATTTTAAACGATGGGCACTTCAACCACTTGCAACGCAGCTGCAAGTAACTTTCATTACCTGATCTTGTGATTTCTTTTTCTTCTTCTTCTTCCCCCAGCACCCTGAACTCTCTGTGTCTTTTCCATTGGCATCACCACAGAGTAATCCATCAAGTTCATCTGTTCCCATCTGCTGTCCCTGAGATGTTTCTGCAGCTAGCCTGTATGAGAGGTTCCTCAAAATGCACACACAGTTTTCAACGGTCTGAAAAGTGTGACAAAAAAAAAAAAAACCAAACCAGAAAAAAGTTAAAATCCTTCCCTTGCTCACTCTTTATACAAAGCAGAAGAAATACCATTGATCTTTGCACACACATTTTCCCAGCACAATTCTTATCTGCTCATTTCTGAGTGCTCCCCAGGTAACCACAACTTAAGAGACTTAGAAATTTTTATGGAAAGAAATCAGTAGTCTGAACAATATTTTTTGCATGAGTTTTTTTATTGTCATTCTGAACTTCATGCTGAAGCCCCATGTGAAACAGAAACCAAGATAAAAAGTGATCAAGAGAACCTGAACACACGCCAAATGCCAGCAAACTCCCACCTCAGTGAACAGAAAGTGGCAATAGGTTGTGGGTTTTTTTGGGTTTTTTTTTTTTTTTTAAAGCAGAAATATAGGTTATTTCTGGCATCAATTCTATGTAAATTACCAAAAAAATGGGAGCCGAGTTCCATTTCACAAATACTTGTAGCATGGACAGATGATGTTTCTCGAGTCCCAGAAGCAAGACTAGGAATCTCAGGAGTCTTGCTGCTCTTACTGCTTCTAGCCAGGCTACAAACAACTTGTAAGCAGCCTTTCATCCATTTGTCCCCCTAGTAGGTTGTGCCTTCTGTAAAAGATTGTGATGGGAATCCAGAAATGGAGTGAGACGCAGCCGAGGAAAATGACAGAACTGATAATTCAAGATAATTTCTGCAAGTCTAAAAGAAGCTCAGTTTAGACTTGCTTGAAGCCTACTAATTTAGTTGGTTCAATTTGGTTTGACTACCCTTAACAGAAAGGACATGTGCTTAATTTTCTGGAGGCAGGGAAAGCGTGGTTAAAAAAGCCAGTCTGTATCTATCTATATTTATTTCCATTGTTCCTAATACTTCATGGAGATAAGAAGCGATAGTCACTACTTTCCATCTCTGTTGCTCCATTAACCCAGAAAGGAATGACTGTGAGGCTTTCGGCTTGATCGTACTCTGCCATATTCACCAGGAAGGCAAACAGATAGGGCTTCATTTACTTTCATACGCTGTATGAGCTTATGCCAGGTATGCATTTGGCACATGGTTTTTGAGATGACAGCAAGTTCCACAGATGATAATGAACACTGAACTTGGGGAAATTTCACATTACATTTGTACTAATTTGAAATCTCCAGCCAAATACGTAAACACATGTAGACTATATATATATATGCAGAAAATGTGAAACTTCTTAGTGCACCTTTCATACCTCAAAGCTTTGTTGCAGATCTCACGGTGTCCATAGAAAGTTTGCTACCTCTTTTACTTTTCTTTAACATTTCCATATTCGAATTTTATTCACTCTTGCTAATATTTACTTCTGCACATCCGTGATGTGCTGAAGTTGAAGGTTTGCATTTGTTGATTAAGGTTCTGAATTTTAATTCCCCTTTTTACAAATAATAGTTTTCACACTTAAAATTCTCATTATGTCAGAAACAAATTAGCCAAGTCCACTGTGAGGACAACGCTAGCTCAAACTAAAAACTGATAAGCAACCTTACAAGCCTCGAATGCAACCAATGCCTTCTTCACTAAGGTGATCTCGTACAAGCCAAGAAAGCTGGTTCTAGTCATGCAGCTGGACAGACTTCACTCCTTCTTGACTTGTAGCTTTGAACATTCAAGGGTCCTTGTATTCCTCATTCCTACAGATATTTTTCAGTTTCACCATAAGGGGACTAAATACGAGTTTGGTAGTCTTAATAGATCAAATTAAAATTATGAACAGTACCTTTGTCAGGTAACCATGTCGAAGTCACTCATTTTTAACATTTTAACTTGAAGTATCATAGTTTTTTCTTATTAGACATTTATAAGAAACACTGCTGCTAAGATGCTTGTAATGCTGCTAAGATTTATACACTCCTGACCTCACCAACATGAGGAACGACTCTAACAACAACTCTGCATGCACTTGCAAGTCCCCCATCCTCTTTCAGAGCCTGCAAGAGCAGGGACCTGTTTGTCAGTATTTCAGTTTTTAGTCACTAACAGCATTACAAAATACTGTTAATTTGTAATATATGTACTTACAGGGCAACTGTCGTGGCATTTGGAAAACAACATTTATAACTTTATTTTAAAGTTCCATTTTTTGTTATTATAGCACCATTTTTGAAACTAGATTGAAAACTGATGTAAAGCCAGTTATTTAAATATTTAATTTAATTAAAATTACATTCTACTTTGGGAAAAAGATAAAAGGTAAGAGGCTGCACTATGGTGTTTGGTATTAAGCTGCACAACTGCTTTATGTCATACAGTTAAAAACCTGTTAGATAGGAGGTTAAAACTACTAAGGCAGGGAGAATATTTTTTCTCTCATTTCTTCATTTTCTCCTCCATATATGACTTGGCCTGCAGTTTTTCCATGTCAGACCAGTTACAAATGCGAGTATAAACAGAACAGTCTATATTAACAATAAGAGGCAAAACAGGGAGCTTACCGCGCTCCGTATTTAAGCCTTTTTAACAGTAAAACAATCTTGAAATCAGCTGGGTCACCTACAAAGAAACTGCTGAAAAAGCAGCAGCCGAGCTGTGAGATGGGGCATGAAGTGACTTCTTCCACCCAGCTCCCACTCAGTGGAGCCAATGCAGCCCCTCTAACTTCTCCTTTCTGTTAGGCAAGCCAAATCAGGGAGCTTTGAAACAGTCCCCGGTTCAGCTCTTCCAAAGCTAATGAAGCTAAAAACACCCCCGCGTTTGGGGGCTGCGCTGCAGGAGGTGGCAGGGAGGCGTGGGAGGCAGCTGGCCGCAGGCGGCGGCCGAATTTGCTCGGAACCCGCTCCAAGTGCGGTGCATACCCTGTGGGCGGGCCTCCTCCGATCACCGCTCTTACAAACCTTTTTAATGGAAAACTGATCAGAGACTCATGGCTTGTGGGTTTCTTTGGGGTGGTGGTTTTTTTTTTTTTTTTTGCTTTTAAACCACAAAACCATGCTGCTATCCCAACACCACATGCTACAAACCTCTCATCATTCCTCTCTCCCTCCCCTGAACGCATGGGCAAATTTCACCTAGATTAGATTGAGGCTAATGATCAGAAAGTTCTGGATGTTATTCCTCTCCAACCTATAAACCCAGAGAGGTCCATGGACAACCATCTGTGAAGGATCATTTGGAAATACAAACCCAGTGGGCTTTGAAGTTTTGCTATGTGAAAGGCTGCTCTCCTGTGATTCTTAGGGGTTTGCAAATGGACCAAGATTGCCCTAGAGCAGCAACTGTAATTAATTTAGCACCATATACTGAAAGCAAAAGGTATTTGAAACTAGCCTTTTTCTTCTTCTCTGGAATACTTTAATATATTACAAATCTTCAGTTCGTAAATGCTTGAAATCTTTTTAATTAGCCAGTGCCTTTCACCTTTGGAGAAGCACATTCATATCCTAGTACTTCAGAGAAGTAAAGTTGACATAAAAATACATTTTAAATAGTTGTTATTGAAAGCATTCACTGATCCTCTTCAAAGAAGACATAACATTGGTATTGCGGCAAAACTACCTATTAATTGCACAATTTTTGTTTGTTTGTTTGCCTTGTAAGCCTACCTCACTGTTACTAGCTCTGTCTCATACTGGGCACTGAAAATCAATTTTAAGGTAAACCTAGCAGAGCAGCATAAGGAAGTTTACATGGAATATGACACATTTTCTCTTCTTAAATCAGTATCATATTTTCTCCCTTAATAATTCAAGTGAGAGGATGACATGCTTACCTGTGCACACTACACAGGCAGACACAAATCCAACACTTAGCACACAAAAACACACAGCTCAACAGAAGGGAAATTAAAAAAGGGGCTAAATTATGCTTTGCTAAGGCACCCCTCACAATACTTTTTTTTTTTAAAAAAAAAAAAACAAACCCTGTCACTTTATAGTCCTGATGTACCCTGAATACCTGGATTTCTTGCTCCTCGAAAGACAAAGATGACAAACCTTACTATCAATTTCACTGCTCCCCAGAGCAGACTGGATCACGTACAGCAATGCATCCGTCAGGCCATCGCACTCCCTCATTCTTCTGCGGGCCTCCTCTCCAGCAGAGCTGACATTCCTGCAAGGCAACAGCAAGGGTCACCACCTCCACAGCTCCCCTGCCCACCTCCCCTCCTGAAAGGCTCTCAACAATTAGCATACAAACACTTGGGTTTTTTTTTTTTTCCTCCTTTCATCAGTTCAGAGCTGCGAATAATGAAGACAGCTGTGAATGAGCTCAGGAAATGTAACACAGAGGGGAACAAATGGAAGTCATCAGGTCCTCCACAAGAAAGGGCTGAGAGGCCAAGCAGCATGCGCCCACCTGAGCTGGGAGACTCATGGCCTACTAAAATTTGGAGAAGGGCTGATCATTTTTCTTTCTTTCTTTTTTTTTTTTTTTAAAGTAGGTTTTGTGTTTGTGAGAAAGTGTTTTAAAAATGTGCATATTACATATAAATCAGGCTTTGAAAAGTCTAGAGGTTTTGCCAAAGAAATCTCCTAGGATTTGAAGAGCCCAGTAGTTAGGGCTCTTAACCTGAGAGAAAAATATTATCAAAGCATAACATAAAACACCTGGTATTGCTTGCTTCTCATTTTACATGAGTGTTTCCTTTTCTCTCTCATCAGAGAACATTAATGCCTCAATCTTTTCTTTATGTAGTTACTCACAAGTTGTTTTACATTGCAAAATTTAAAACCTCAGCTTACTATAATAATTATGTTCCTCAGACAGGGCCAGAGGGCCTTCTGAACACATTTATAAAAACACAATTAAAACAGAATTTACTGCATAGCATAATGTGTCATAAAGTTAAAAATATTGATATATAAAGAAACAAATATGTATGAACGAGCATCTATAAATAGAATCTATACTTGCTAACATCAAGCCTCCCTGAGAAAAACTGCATTCAAATTTGCACAGCAGTTGTGATTTGGTAATGGGTGAATTAGCAGCCTCGTGAATGGGCTAAAACTTTTCACACAGTCTCCTTTGGTAGGGAAAACAAAC